TCTCCCCCCCCCCCCCCCCCCCCCAGCACAGCACAGCGCTCTGTGGAGGCGAGCGGCCCCGCCCGGCGGGGAGACATGGGAGATCATAGCGAGGTGCGTTGGCCTTCCCTCGCTGCAGGCTCCCTTCCTGCGCGCGCAGCGTGTGTCCAGCGCGCCCCCCCCCCCAGTCTGCTGGGCCTCTTGGTACTTGGGGGGAGGGGGGGGCAACAGCCTTTGACATTTATTTTGGTGGGTGACTGGGCGAGGTGGAAGTGAAACAGGGATCAGTCGGAAGGTCACCGTCGCCGTTAGACTTGCAAGGGCTTTTGCTGGGGCGCTGTATTCGTTAAGCGAGTGGGTCTGGCCCACGAAACGCCCCCCCCCCCAGTCTGCTGGGCCTCTTGGTACTTGGGGGGAGGGGGGGGCAACAGCCTTTGACATTTATTTTGGTGGGTGACTGGGCGAGGTGGAAGTGAAACAGGGATCAGTCGGAAGGTCACCGTCGCCGTTAGACTTGCAAGGGCTTTTGCTGGGGCGCTGTATTCGTTAAGCGAGTGGGTCTGGCCCACGAAAGCTCATCATCTAATAAACCATTTTGTTAGTCTTTAAAGTGCTACACTGTCCTGCATTTTGCTTCAGAGATTAACAGGAAACTGCCGCATCAAATGTTGCTCAGGGATCTTTTTTGTAAGGTCTGTTTATAGAAACCTGAGCAAGAGACACGCTCCGTGAAGGAGGACAGTGGGGTTTCTTTTCCCACTAATAAATACTCCCCCTTTGTGTTTGAACCGCCACGTGTTGCCGTGCTCTGTGGAGCCTTGTGACAATGGACAGCCAGGCTACGTCTGGACAAGGGCGCTATTACCGGATGCTGGAAGGACCCTGAAATAGCTATTCCGTAGCGTTAAACGTGCCTGTTATTTTGAAAGAATGGACGTGCTATTCCAGCGTCTCTGTAACCTTCGTTCCACGAGGGTTAAGGGACTTATTGGAATAGTGCTTTATTTCAAAATTAGATCAAAATAAGAGAGGCAATTTGCGTAGCTCAAATTGCATATTTTATTTTGACCTATGCGTGCAGTGTAGATGCACCCCCAGTTTTCCCCTTTTTTTCCCCCTTTCTAATTCAGTGTGGTCCACAGCAATTACTTGTATTTCACAGTGAGCTGCTACTTATGCTTTCTCTGCACTGGTTGTTTTTAAGTATGGACCGACATAGTCCTAAATTACCTGCAATCCTCCTGCTTGGAGAGATCATCGCTCACCTTTTTGCAATACTGTTTTAGTTGAGACTTGGAAGCGTGGGAGAGCTGCCAATTCCTGTTGCAATCATGCTTTTGACTAGGGATGTTGGATATTGTTTAATTGAGTAGTCGTGTAACCGCATGAAATCTTAGCAGTTACACCACTTTTCAGTAGTCCCTGGGGATGGTGCTAGCAGTCAGTGTGCTCCCGGCCGCCTCCTGAGTAGCCTCCTGCCACCCCATGCTACTGCCTCTGTGCCTTTGTTATGTGGTTCAGCTTTTGGATAGGAGTGATGTCAGGAAAAACACCTCAGATAAACTCTTGTTAACTTTATTATGCACAGAATAGTAAAGGAAAGCAATGCAAGGTTACACAGATCTATTCCAATACACAGGATAGTTAGCACAGTCAATAATACAACACCTACATCTACGGCAATACCCAAGATACTTAATTTTAAGGATCTGAATATACATGTACAGGGCTTGACAAATACACTCACCCACTCGCCCATGGCGAGTAGATTTTTCCAGCTGGCGAGTGCAGGGGTGGACTGGCCTGGTGGGTCATTGTAACAGGCTGGCCAAAGCCCACACTATGGGCGGCGCAGCCCCATCCAATTCGCCAGCAAGCGGAGGAGCAGAGCGCTGCCGGGGAGGGGGACCTGCAGCAATTCTCAGCCATTAAAAAAACACTTTTTTGGGGGGGGTGGGAGGGTGGCGAGTCCCTTTTTTGTCTGGCGAGTAGGGGTTTCCATAATTTGTCAAGCCCTGTACATGTACTTATTTCTATAAATCTCACACAGTTCCATCGCTAGACCCTTACGATTGTCAGATAGGACGTTGTGGCTTCGTTTCCCCACACGCAATTATGTATTGTATATGTCCCTCTTTTGGACACGTCCTACTAGTCAAACTATACTGTACTTAATTGATAGTTTTATGGCTGCATCAGTGATTTTTGCTCATTAGTATTGTTATGTACCAGGCTACTCCCAATGTTCTGGGCACAGTTTCTCTATACCAATACTCTCAATGCACTATTGTTTAAAGCACTCCTGACATTTAAAGGTCAACCCTTGGCCTGGCCCATGTACACTAGGCTTGAATCAGCCTGGTTTGCTTTGTTAGAAGCCACACTTTGGTTAAGGCAACCATCCTTAGTCCGGTCAATGCAGAGCCGCACAATGCAGACATTATTATTCTGGTCTAGATGGGGTTGTCCAGGCTCCCCTACACCTTTAAAAACCAGCTTCCCATGCAGATTGGCTCCCGTCTGCCACCCCAGTTGCTGCCTTTGATACATATGTATAATATAAAAAAATTGTCAGTCGTTGTGTGTGTGCCTCACAAATCCCTGTAATTTAGGGAAGCTTTATTATTTTACAGCTGGGTCTAAATTTTCCCAGAATGATTATTGACTTGTCCAGGGTCATTCAGGAAGTCTTTGACTCAAACAAGAACAGCAGAAACCAGATCTCTCAACTGCTAGTATGCTGCCTTAAAAGCAAGGCCATCCTTCATTCCTTTTTCATACGAGCACAGAATGGTGTTATAACTGCAATTATTCATGGCATGATGTCCTGAATGTACATATTTGAAATATTTCTTTTGCACTGTAGTTTACTATTTTTATTTTTATTTATAGGTTAAAGTGAAAATACCTTTTGGAACTAAATACCTAGACGCTATTTTTTCAGTTCCAGACAAGATATTAACACACGGCGTGATTCTTACTCATGGAGCTGGAGGAGATATGAATTTCTCTCATTTAGTTTCTTTAGTAGCTTATCTTGCATCTCGTGGAATTCTGTGCTTGAGATTTACCTGTAAAAGCCTTAACATTGCCTATAGGACTAAAGCATATAAATCAGTTGTGGTAAGAGAAGACCAGATTGTATTTCAAATTCTGGAAAGATTAGAGTGACGTCAGTATTCAAGGATACTTATTAGTAAATTTAATTTTATCAAAATCCACTTAAGCCACTATATGCTTTTTGCATATTTAATTTCCTGTGACTACTGAGTATTTAAGTGCTTTTTAAGGTCAGGAGGAACCACCAGATCATCAGTCTAACCTGTATATCACAGACCATCCAGCCACTTCAGCACCAAGCCCAACAATCAGAATTAGATCAAAGTATTCAGGAAATGAAACTATTGTGTGCCATGGACCAAGAACAGGTGGCATTGGGGTACCATTAGTTCAGGGAATTGATTGATTAAATATACGAGATGATCAAGGGATCCCATTGCAAGTTGTAGAGGAAGGTAAGTAACCCCACAATCCCCAGTCGGACATGGGTGAAAACTTTCCCATTACAAAAAATGGTCTATTAAACCGTGATCGTGTGTGCTAGACCTACCAGCCAGGCATCTGGCAGAGAATACTTTGTATCCTCTCAGAACATCTCTACATTCAATATGCAGTGTTTTATCTCCAGCTATGAAGGAAAACCCTCCACACAGAGGGGTGAAGGGGCAGGAGAATTTCCTTTTTTGACTCCCACTGGTGAGCAACTGAAGCCCTGAGGGACAAGTTTCTAGGAACAGAAGGCATTAAGACCAGAAGTGACCTTTAGGGCTGAAACAGGCCCCCTATCCGCACAAGCAGAAGTTATAAATCTCTCTCGTAGACTTATTCAGCTCTGTCTTTAAAACTAAATTGTTTTCCCCCACAACTTCTGTTGGGATGCTGTTCCTAAACCTCATTGCTTTGATGTATAAAAATCTAATTTTCAGCCTATGTTTATGGCCAGTTTATACCTATTTGCTTTTGTGCCAACATTTTTCTGTAAGTTCTATAGCTCTTTACCCT